TGTACCTGCCCTGGCCAGGCTGTTCACTAGGGGAAAGCCCTTGCCCCATAGAAGCTCATAGAATCTTCTGCAACCGTTGGGAGTTGTGGTTTTCCCTTCCCACTCGGTGGAAACTGGGGCACAGAGAGGTTGAGAAACTTGCCCACGGTCATCCAGCCCGTGAGCAGCAAGCCTGGATGGGAACACAAGCTCGTCCAGCTCAGTTCATTGCCCGGAGCCCACGGGGGCGGCTGGGGCACCCCTCCCTTTTTGGGGGCCCTGGGAGCTGGGGACGGAGTCTGTGTTGGGTCCTGGAGCTCGCCGGCTCTGGGACACTGAGCGAGTGAATTCACTCACTTACAGCCTAAGGTTCCCCAGGCGGTAAATGGGATTATTGTAGTATTGCTGGGATTTTGCTGTGAGAATGAAGGGAAATTGCGTACGTAGAGCATTCAGGATAGCCTAGGCTGAGAAAATATAGCCCTGGTCACTAGTCTTATAACTTTTAGCTCGCTCTCTCTCTCTCCTGCCCTCTCAAAGCCTAGGTCCTGCCTTACATCAGGACCCTGGGACCTGATACCCAGGAGGAAAGCAGCAGAAAGTTCTCGAACACTCACTATGGTGTTATTATAAGCAATTTAGGTAGATTAATGCATATTTAGTCCTCAAGATTCCCCAGAGGCCAGTGCTGTGAACAGCCCCATCACACTTGAGAAACCTGAAGCTCAGAGAGGCAGAGCGACCTGCCCAAGGTCATACAGCTTCGAAGCGGCAAAGCCAGGGCTCAAGCTGAGGTTTCTAACACCCCCCCCCCCGCCCCCCGCCCTTCCTTCAGGTCGAGGAGCGTTTCTCCCGGGTGCCGGAGCCGGTCCAGAAGCGCATTGTGTTCTGGTCGTTTCCACGCAGCGAACGGGAGATATGCATGTACTCCTCGCTGGGCTACCAGCCTCCGGAGGGCGAGCACGACACACGGGTGCCCTTCACCCGAGGGCTGCACCTGCTGCAGAGCGGGGCCGTGGACCGCGTGCTCCAAGTGGGTAAGCACCCTCCCCGGGGGCCGGCCCGGGAGGCTCCGCGTCTCTGGGGAAGGTTGGACCGAATATCGTGAACGAAGAGCGGAATCTGCCGAGACCTCAGAGACCTCAGGCCGAGGGCTAAGATAAAGGGTCTGGAGAAGGGGTGTGCGCCCGCGGCCTGAGGTCTCGGCAGATTAGGCGGAGGGTGGGGAAGCGTTGCTGAGGTTGGGAGGAGGCCGAAGCATCTAAGCTGGAAATGGGAGGAGAGCCCCAGCGACGTGTTCGGCCTGAGGTCAATGACACCGGGCCTCAGGCAGAGAACTCTGGTGGGGGCTGGGATCACACAAGGCGGTGGTTGAAGTTCAGGATCAGCTGTGAGGGCTGGTCTTGCCCCTCAGGTGTTGGGGCCCAGGGGGGGGGGGGGGGCGGGGGCGGAGGTTCAAAGCCAGAGGGGAAAGATGATTGTAGGCCTCAGGCAGCGGTGCTCAGAAGGGAACCCGGAGAGCCAGAAGGCAGCCGAGTTCGGGAACACATGGGGCAAGTCACGTCTCCCGGCTGGAGGCAGGGGCTGGCCACGATGACCCTCCCTAAACCCTGGCCCCCTCGCCTGGACACGGCCCCGCGGTATGAGGAAGCAGCCGTTTCCCCACATGACGCAGCCGGGGCCGGCTGGGGCCTGAGCTGCCCAACCAGTCTGATGAGCCTGGCATCTGGGCTCCCCAGGGGCCAGGGAGGGGCAGGGGGTGATGGGGTGACCCGGCCTGCCACATCTGCCCCTCACCCCCAAGTGACAGGCCTTTGGCATCGTCCCAGGAAGTTACAGGGTGTCTGTATCCCTGATAGCCCAAGACTGGGAAAGCCATCTCTGATATCCTCTGTTTAGTAATATGTAGACGTGCGTTTGTGTAGGATTTGCTGCATGCCAACAGTGTTCTTCTGAGCCCTTGCTAACTATCGTGTTTCTCCAAAACTAAGACATCCTCCGAAAATAAGACCTAGCGCAACTTTGGGAGAAAAAATTAATATAAGGCACTGTCTTATTTTCGGGGAAACAGGGTAAGTAACTCATGTAATTCTCATGACAACCCTGGAGGAGGAAGTTACTGTTTGTTCTCATTTGACAGATGAGGAAACTGAGGCACAGAGAGGTTCAGTGACGTGCTCCAGGTTCCCGAGCCGGCACTTGCCCCCGGGTCTTGCTGTGCGCCGAGGATGCGCACCCCCAGCCTCCGGGGCGACCCGTGGTGACGGTCGGGTGTTTGTCTTAGGGTTCCACCTGAGCGGTAACATCCGGGAGGCCGGAGGCCCCGGCGAGCCCGAGCACCTCTACCACGTGTCCATCAGCTTTGACCGCTGCAAGATCACGTCCGTGAGCTGCGGCTGTGACAATCGCGACCTGTTCTACTGTGCCCACGTGGTGGCCCTGTCTCTGTACCGCATCCGGCACGCCCACCAGGTGGAGCTGCGGCTCCCCATCTCCGAGACGCTGTCCCAGATGAACCGGGACCAGCTGCAGAAGTTCGTGCAGTACCTCATCAGCGCCCACCACACCGAGGTGCTGCCCACCGCCCAGCGCCTGGCCGACGAGATCCTCCTCCTGGGCTCCGAGATCAACCTGGTGCACGGTGAGGGCGCCTTGGAGTCTGATCGGGACGCTGCGGCATCAGCTCACAGCCACCCCGCTCGCCGTGACAGACAGTTGTCTCAGAATCCTCAGGTCCCCTTAACCCAGGAGCAGGTGTGGAGGGAGTACCACTGCCTGAGGTCCAGGGCTCCCACCTGTTAGGAGGAAGATTCTGGATTTGATGAATGGCCAGATGAATGGCTGACATCAGCCAATTCAGAGAAGGAGAGTTGAGGGGACAAATGGGAGGCGGGGCCCCAGGTCACAGGCGTCGGCCTGAGTGGATGGGCGAAGGACATGAGGGTATGGAGGTGCCGGGTGTGGGTGCTGGTGGGAGACAGATAAGGAGGTGTCATGAGCTCTGGGGGGGGGGGGGGTTGAGGCTCCAAGGGACTGTGTTGTCTGACCATCATGGTGGGGAGAAGGGAGCAGGATAAACGGGAGATAAATGGATGGTGAGTAGGTGGAGACGTGGACAGATACTTGAGGGTGGGGGTGGGTGGATGCAGAAGGTGTTGATGATGAGCTGATGGTGTGGAAAAGCAGGTGGAGTGGGTGAGTGGATGGGTGATTAATCAGGATGGTAGGTGAATGGGGAACTGGTGGTAACTGGAGGTGGGGTGGGGTGGGGATGGGCTTTGATTGAGGGGGTTGAGGTACCCTGACGGTGGTGGGCAGATGTGCTTGGTGGAATATTGGAAGGACCAATGGGTGCCTGGATTGGGGGTGAGTTAATGGATGTATGGAAAGAATGTTCATGTGTGTGGACTGATGTGATGGATGGATCAAGTGGGTGTAGGACAGATAGATGGACTAACCAGGTGGTGGTTGTTTGGGGGGATACATGTGAATGGATGGTTTGATGGAAGAAGAATAGATAGATGGGGTTCATTGGATGGGTGAATAGTGCGTGGATCAATAGATGAATTAGTCAGTGGATATTTTTGAATGTTTGGTACAGATTAGCTGGAAAGACACATATGGGTAGGTACCTGGATGGGTGGGCCAATGGGATAGGTATAGATAGGTGAGCAGGTGGAAGGATGGGTAAGGTGGATCCCTGACTAATGGGGTGGGTAGGTATGCTAAGGGTTATGGGTATATGGATGCATAGATGCATAGTATGACTGGGGGTGAGGTTGCCAGGTGAGTGGTTTAGACGTGGATGGGTGGATGATGCTTGGGTAGCATGGGTGGATGAGTAGAAGGGCAGGTGATGTTTCAGGTGGGTGGACCATCATCCCACCTGAATGGGTGAATGGGTGGGAGGTGTTTTGGGTAAGATGGATGATCAGTAAATGGATGGATAAGCTAGAGATGTTTTAAGCAAGATGGATGGATGGATGGATGGATGGATGGATAGACAGGTAGCATTTTAGGTGGGATGGATGGATGGGCAGATTAGTAGGTTTTTTCAGTTAAGATGGATGAATAAGTAAATGAATGAATGAGCAAATGATGTTTGGGAGGAATGGATGGATGGATGGCACTTTAGATGGGATGGTCAGACAGATTGATGGATGGCTGGGTGGTTTTTCAGGTGGGATGGGTAGGATGGTTGGAGGACTGAGTGATGGCAGGGGCCCCCTCTCCCCAACCCAAACTTCAGCTTTCCTTCCCACCCCACAGGTGCCCCTGACCCCACGGCGGGTGCAAGCATTGAGGATGCCAACTGCTGGCATCTGGATGAGGAGCAGATCCAGGAGCAGGTGAAGCAGCTGCTATCCAACGGTGGCTACTACGGCGCCAGCCAGCAGCTGCGCTCCATGTTTTGCAAGGTGCCGTGTGGGCGTGGCGTGCACGGCGGGAAGACACGGGTGCCGGCACCCCACCCCGCCTCACCAGCCCATCCCCACGCAGATTCGAGAAATGCTGCGGATGCGGGACTCCAACGGGGCGCGCATGCTGATCCTCATGACGGAGCAGTTTCTGCAGGACCCGCGCCTGGCCCTGTGGCGGCAGCAGGGCGCCGGCATGACGGACAAGTGCCGGCAGCTGTGGGACGAGCTGGGTAAGACCCGGCCCCGGTGGACATGGGCGTTAGAGCTTGCCCTCCCCTGAGATTGAGGCCTGGCCCCTGAGTCCTTCCTCTTCGTCCGCACCTACCAGGCACTCACTGTACCGATGGCTGGAGCTGCAGCGAGAAGCAGGTTAAATACCTGCCCTCACGAAGCTGGCACCCTGTAGGGGAGACGGATGAGAAAAGACTGCAAACCCTTAGGCCAAGGGTTGGCCAGATAGTCCATAGTTTCAGCTTTTTGGGCCATTGGCTCTCTGTAGTGGCTCCTCCGTTTTGCCTGTCGTATTGGAAAAGCAACCGCAAACAGACGTAACTGAATGGGCGTGGCAGAATTCCCATAAGACTGTATTTACAGACACTGTTTATTTGAATGTCCCAAGCCACAAAATATCCTTTGGATTTCCCCCATCACCACCCTTAAAAACTGTAAGAACAGGTCTAATCTCGCAGGCTGTTGAAAAGCAGGCGGCGGGTGGATTTTCTCCAGGGGCAGTCATTGGCTGACCCCTGTGATGGATGGCGGTAAGCACAGGGGAGGAGAGGGACAGTGAGAGACATCCCCAGGCCTGGGTTTGAATCCTTCCAACTTCCTAGCTGTGTGACCTTGAGCCAGTGACTCTACCTCTCTGTGCCTCAGTGTTCTTACAAAAGTGTAAAGTGAAGAGACCATTAGTTGTAATCTCAGAGGCCCAGGGTGAGGGTGAAGCAGAGAGTGGTGCACAGCACACAATAGGCAGTCCGTCAATGTTGCCGCTACTGTTGACATGGATGCTGAACCTCCCCATTCTCTGCCCTCCCCAGGGGCCCTGTGGGTGTGTGTGGTCCTGAGCCCCCACAGTAAACCGGAAGAGCGAGCGAGCTGGCTCCAGCTGCTGGGCAAGTGGGACAAGTTGGACGTGTGCCCGCTGGAAGAGGGCAACTTCTCTTTCAACGGTCCGAGCCTACAACCCGCCACGGCCCTCAACCCAGGTAGGAGAAGGGTCCCTGCCATTACCCGAAACCGCGAGCTCTGCAGTGCCCTACCCCCATGATGCCCTGGGGGAGCAGGAGGAGGCCCAGCCCTTGCCTGCCCTGCCCTCCAGGAGGGAGGGAGGGAGCGCCCAGGCGAGGCAGTGGGTAGCCCAAGGGCAGTGCGGTGCAATGCTTAAGACGCCCGTAGTTCTTTTTTTCCCCTTTTCTTTTTAATATGTTTTATTGATATTTTTACAGAGAGGAAGGAAGAGGGATAGAGAGTTAGAAACATCGAGGAGAGAGAAACATCGATCAGCTGCCCTTGACCGGAATCAAACCTGGGACCCTTCAGTCCACAGGCCGATGCTCTATCCACTGAGCCAAACCAGTTAGGGCAAGACACCTGTAATTCTGGCTCTTCTCCTAATTTAGGCTCCTCCTGGCAATGGAGGTGGGCGTGGGGGGGACAGAGGAAAAAGCAAAGATATATATATATATATATATATATATATATATATATACACACACATACATATATATATTTTAAAAAAAAAGGCAGAGGCAGATGGTCAATGTTTCTCTCTCATCGATGTTTCTAGCTCTCTATCCCTCTCCTCCTCTCTGTAAAAAAATCAATAAAATATATATATTTTTTAAAAGGCAGAAATGAAAGGAAAGAGACAGGAGGACAGAGAGGAAGGGGGCAAGGGGAGAGATATTAAGAGGGAAAAAAAGTAGGATGTGAGGAGTAGAGAGATTGACAGCAAGACAGTTATCAACCTCAGTGTCCAACACACACACACACAGGTGCCCCTTTGAAAGGCTGCCGTAGGATTTGAGGGGCACCCAGAGTGTAGCCCTGAGTGGCACTCAGCGTGGGGGACTCTAGGCCGTGCTGGACCCCTCTCCACAGGCCCGGAGGAGGAGGAGGCGGCGGCGGCGGCAGGTTCCCGGCACACAGTGTTTGGCCGAGCCCTGCAGGCTGGGTCCCTGCACTGGAGTGACCCCCATCTTCAGAGGATCCTGGCCAGTGACTGCTATGGCCCCAGCCTCACAGGCCATGGGGGCAGCGACAAGGCAACCTTTGACCCCCAGGGCCGCGCCCTCTGGCTGGGGGAGCCGTTCCCCACTGCTTGTGCCCGGGTGGACACCCTGCGTGCCCACGGGTACCCCCGCCAGGCCCTGCGGCTCGCGGGAGCCATCGTCAACACCCTCCGGCTACAGCGGCGGCACCAGCTCGAGAGCTACAAGCAGCAGAAAAAAGGTGGGCACCCCCCTTACCATGAGGTCCTGGGGCTGTAGGCACAGATGCCAACTCCTGGAGGCTGTGGCAAACCCAGGGGTCTCTGTCTGTTTTTGTTTTTGTTTTTGTTTTTAATACATTTTATTGATTTTTTTACAGAGGGGAAGAGAGAGGGATAGAGAGTTAGAAACATCGATGAGAGAAAATCATCGACCAGCTGCCTCCTGCACACCCCCCACTGGGGATGTGCCCGCAACCAAGGTACATGCCCTTGATTGGAATTGAACCTGGGACCTTTCAGTCCGCAGGCCGACCCTCTATCCACTGAGCCAAACCGGTTTCGGCCCCCAGGGGGTCTTTGGGTACCACTTAAGGTGACCAGACGTCGCTCTTTGGGCGGGACAGTCCTGATTTTTAACAATTCGTCCTGCGGCGTTTTTAAAAAGTCCCGATTTTTGAAAAAACACCGCAGGACGCGGGACAAATTGTTAAAAATCGGGACGTCTGGTCACCTTAAGGTCCCACTGAGAAATCAAAACCACTCTAGGTACCTTGAGCATACAGGAATTCAATGCAGGGGGTGGAGGGCTCACAAAGCCACTGGCGGGGAAGCCGCCCCTGAGTTTGAGAACTTGAACTTCAGAAGCGCAGTGGGCGCCGCAGCCTGCAGCCTCCACGGGGGCAGTTCCCGAGAGAACACCCAGAAGCTGCTGGCTGGGCCCGAGAGAGGGGGTGGGAATGACTCTGGATGGAAGTTTTAGAAAGTGCTCAGTTCCTCCAGGTGTCCTGCCGGCCTGGGAGTGGCTGTGGGACTGGAAGCCAGAGGCTGTAGAGGTGACAGCTGCTGCAGAGCCCGAGGGGCAGAGAAGACGACCGACCGCGGGGTGGGCAGACGGCGGGAGGCTGGTTTGGGGGTTCAGAGAGAGAAGGGCCCCCCCCCCGGGGGGCTAAAGAAGGTGGGTGGGCACTGAGCCCCACTTCCGGTCCGCAGAGCTGCTACAGAAAGGCTCCACCTGCATCACCAACACGGAAGGATGGGTGGGGCACCCCCTGGACCCCGTCGGCTGCCTCTGCAGGGCGCTCCTGGAGGCCTGTCGCCTGGAGGAAGAGACCCTTGCCCTTTACCCAGGTACCCACGCTGGGGACCCCTGGAGGAGGGGGGGCAATCCCCACCTCTCTGGTCAACCCCCCTGGCTCAGTACTCCTAGAAAATGAGGTCACACCCTTACCCTTACTGCAACCTCCTCCCCGCCCCCTTCCTCAGTGCAAGGAGCCAACAGGCTTCGCTCCTGCAAGTGCGGCCACTGTAGGCCTGTCCGCTGCTGGGAGGTGGCCCCAGCCCCTGGTCCGTGCTGGGAGCAGTGGGACTCCCCTATACCACGTCCCCTCAGCCTCCATGCCCGGGGTCAAGGGCCATGGGGGCCCCAGGAGAGGGGGCCCCTCCAGCATTTTCAGCGCCGTCTCCCACAGACTCGGGCCCCGAGAGGCGGAAGGTGGCCTACCAGCACGTGCCTGTGCCCGGGAGCCCCGGGGAGTCCTACCTGGCGCTGGCGCTGGAGGTGGCGCTGCTGGGCCTGGGGCAGCAGCGGGCCCTGCCCGAGGGGCTGTACGCCCAGGACAAGGTGGTGCGCAACGAGGAGCAGCTGCTGGCGCTGCTGGAGGAGGTGGAGCTGGACGAGAGGCTGGTGCAGGTGCTGCGCAAGCAGGCGGGGCTGCTGCTGGACGGTGAGGCCCCGCCCGAGCCTGCTCTTTGGTCTTTTGGTGCTTTCCCTTAACATTTCATGAGAGAGGAGAGTCCTGGCACGTTCTGGCAGCCGGAAACTGCTGGGAGGGGCGAGGACCGGCTCCCCGCCCCCCTGGAGTCCCTGAGCCAGGTCCCTGATGCCCAGCTGGGCCTCACTGGCTCTGCCCATGGTGCTGCCTTAGGAGGCCCCACCCCCTCATCCTGCCTCTGAGACCTGCCCTCCCAGGGGTGCCCAGGGTTCCCTCTTTTCGAATTTTCCAGGCTTTTCTGTCTCAGCCCAGGGTCCCCATGCCCAGGACCTCTCCCGCCCCTAGTCCCTGCCGCTCTATCCTGGGGTCCGCCCCTCCCCTGCTCCTCCTGGGCCAGGAGGTCTGGGGAGGGGCGGTGGTCAGAGGTGAGCCCACGCCCGGGGCTAAGCTCCGCTCCCCGCAGGGGGTCCCTTCAGCGGCTTCGGAGAGGTGCTGTTCCGGGAGAGTGTGCCCATGCACACCTGTGCCCGCTACCTGTTCACCGCCCTGCTGCCCCACGACCCCGACCTGGCCTACCGCCTGGCGCTGCGAGCCATGAGGTGAGGACAGACAGACGGCGGGGGCCTCTGCCCGGTGGGCCCAGCAGGATGGGGGGGGGGGGGGGAGGCCGCTCACATCCCCGTCCTCCTCCCAAAGACACAGCCTTGACATCTCAGCCTGACCTCACGCTGGCATTCCAGGCTTCCCTGTGCTCGGACTATTAATTTTTTCGTGTACTATTTATTTTAAATTTGAGAGACATTCCCTTGGCACAAAGTCAGAGTACTTTTCTAGGCTGCTTTGTCCCAACATACCTAAGCAGTGTTCCCACTTTTCTTTTCTTTTTTATTGATTTCAGAGAAGAAGGGAGAGGGAGAGAGATAGCAACATCAGTGATGTGAGAGAATCATTGATCGGCTGCCTCCTGCATGCCCCCTACTGGGGAACAAGCCTGCCACCCGGGGGTGTGCCCTGGACTGGAATCGAACCTCCAGTCCGCAGGCCAGTGCTAACCTGTGATTGGAAATTGAAAGCCGGTCCTCCGTTTACACCGCCGGCACGTTCTGTAGCTGTGCTTTGCCCCTTGTTTTCACTGCGCGTTGAATCATAAAGGCCTGGTGGTACCACATAACACATGAATCTCTGTGAGGATGATGCATCACAGAAGAACCAGTCAGGACAGACATATATGCTGTTGAACAAAACAACATCACAATGAATTATCCTTTATCATTTTACACGTATACCAGCCGATCCCAGAATTTTGTAAAATTCCTTTCAGGAGACAGAGAATCCCATCATCTCTTCATCAGCCCCATGGCCTTTGGTACATGCATAAAGCATTGTTTATTTAGTCCAACCCCGAGGGATGGACATACACAGCACTGCAGTGAACATCGTGCACACACACCCACCTTCTTGGCGGCCCGGGGCTTTGCTAGGAAGGATGGAGACTCAGCCTTGCCTCACCATGGGCTTGCTTCTTGCTTCCTCCCAGGCTGCCTGTCCTGGAGACAGCACTTCCGGCTGGAGATCCTCACCCCAACCCACTGGACTCCGTCACGAGTAACCGCTTCCCACGCTGGTTCATCCTGGGCCACCTGGAGACTCGCCAGTGCGAGCTGGCCTCCACCATGCTGACGGCTGCCAAGGGTGAGGAGGACGAGCACTGGTCCCGGGTCCTCCATCTCTTCCCCCCTCCTCTCCTCTGCTCCTTCCTTCCTCTTTCTTGTCTTTTTATCTATTTCCTCTAGTTTTCCTGGAGCACTTTTTAGATGGATCAAGACTGGGGTGGGCGTTAAGGATGCCGTAGTAAACAAAACTGTCCCATGTCCCACGCCCTGTGGTGTTACATTCTGGTGGGGCCAGACAGACCATAAACCCGGTGAAGAGTATAGCTAGGGCTGAAACCAGTTTGGCTCAGTGGTAGAGCATCTGTCTGCGGACTGAAGAGTCCCAGGTTCGATTCCAGTCAGGGGCATGTACATTGGTTGCGGGCGCATCCCCGGTGAGGGGTGTGCAAGAGGCAGCTGGTCAATGTTTCTCTCTCATCGACGTTTCTATATCTCTATCTCTCTCCCTTCCTCTCTGTAAAAAAAAAATCAATAAAATATATTTTTTTAAAGAAAGAGGATAGCTAGGCGCTAAGTGAGATGATAACAAGTGCACCATGGAGGATAAAGCACATCCGTATTTCTCTCTGTCCTCCACTCTAAAAAAATCAATGGGAAAATATCCTCAGGTGAGGATTAAAACAAACAAATTAATATTGGTGTAGCTTTTGCCTTGCTAAAGCCTCTACTGGTATGGGCTCTCAGAGGCCTTAGGAGGCAGGTACTGTTCCATTAGTCTTATTCATTGCACAGATGGGGCAGCCAAGGCACCGAGAGGTGGAGTCACTTGCGCAGGGTCACACAGCAAGGCGGGGATTTGAATCCTGGCGCTCCGATTCCAGAATCCATCCTCTCGACCGTTGGGCACCTAGCAGGTTCCTAATGGCCTCTTCCCACTGGAAGTGGAGGAAGGCAGAGGAGAGAAGGGGGTGGCGGTGCTAAGGGTGGTCGGGCTCTTCACAGGTCGTTGCCAGGTTCGTGACCTCCATGCTCACACCTATGCACCTGTGTGGAAGGAACCGCACGAACGGCCTGGTATAACAAGGGTGCCAATGTCCCTCCCCCTGCCCCAGGAGACCCCAAATGGCTGCACACAGTATTGGGCTCCATCCAGCAGAATATCCACTCTCCAGCCTTGCTCTTCAAGCTGGCACAGGACGCCTGCAAGACAGCCACCCCGGCCAGCACACCACCAGACATCACCCTGCTGGGCATTGCGCTGGAGCTGGGCCTGCAGGTGAGGGCCCCCAGGAGGATGGGGGAGGGGGTGCTGCCTGTGGGTGGGTCCAGGATGTGAGTGGCACCCCTGGGGCTTGGCCACAGAAACTGCAGAGTCTATAAATTCTGGGAGGGGGAGAATGAGGTTATCAGTGGGTGGGCCTATGAATTAGAGACTCAGCTACAGAGTCTGAAGGTGAGAATCTACCTCTGAGGGTGTGGCCCCGGAGGAGGAAGAGGAGGGTCATGGAACCTGCTGGTGAGAGGGTGGGCCACAGAGGGAGCCTAGGGGTTCTGGCCTTGGAAATGTGGCCTGGGGCTGGTGTGCTTAAGGTTAAGGCCCATGGGTGGGTGGAGCTGAGGGGGCAGCAAAGCCTGCCAATAAGAAGTAGGCCCTTGCCGAAACGGGTTTGGCTCAGTGGATAGAGCATCAGTCTGCGGACTGAAAGGTCCTGGGTTCAATTCCGGTCGAAACATTGACCTTGGTTGCAGGCACATCCCCAGTAGGGGCGTGCAGGAGGCAGCTGATGGATGTTTCTCTCTCATCGATGTTTCTAGCTCTCTATCCCTCTCCCTTCTTCTTCGTAAAAAAATTAATAAAATATATTTTTGAAGAAAAGAAGGGCCTTTAGGGGAACCCAGCCTAGAAGTCACGGCGTGGCTGTGGCCTGTAGGTGAGGAGCCATGCAGGCTGGGTGAGGCAGAGGTGGGCGGGGCCTCACACGTGACCCAGTGAAATGAGAGGATAAGGAACAGCCTGGGGCGGGCGTGCAGGCTCGGTGGGGTCTTCTCAGGTAGAACCTGAGAGCGAGGGGCCCTCAGGCGCAGAATTAGCCAGAAACCATTTCCTGAGGGGACTGGAGTCTTTGGGGGACGTGGAGGGGGCAGGGCAAGGGTGGAGCTCTAAGAGGAGACCCCCCAGAAGGCAGAGCCACCAGATAGGACTGGGGATGGGGCCCGAGGGGAGGGGCAAGCAAGGAAGGTGCTTATTGGGGTGAGCGCCGAAGAAGGTGCGACTGTGGAGCAGGTGCTCTGTTGGCGGTTTCAGGGGGGAGTCTGCAGACATGAAGCATGGAACTTTCTGGAGAGAAGGGATGGGTTGGCTTGTCCAGAGTAGGCTGCATGGGGGCCTCCGCATAACAACAACAATAGCAGTAATAGCACTGGCTGACGTTAGCCGAGCACTTTGAGGCAACAGGCACTGTGCAGAGAGCATTACTACATAATTTTGCTTCTCACAACCCTGTGGAGTAGATGAGATTTTCATCCCCACTTTACAGATGAGTAAACTGAGACCAGAGAGGGGAAGCCATTTGCCCAGACTGTATGGCTCCCTGGGTCGGCCCCTCACGTCTGTCTGCCCGGGCCCCCGAGGGTCCCAGCCTTTGCCCCTCAGCAGCCTGACGTTCTGGGTGACCTTCTGTCCCGTTCACACGCTGCACAGGTGATGCGGATGACCCTGAGCACCATGACCTGGCGGCGGCGGGAGATGGTGCGCTGGCTGGTCAGCTGTGCCACGGAGATCGGTGAGCGGCCCCCGGGGATCCGCCACCCCCCTCTTCATGGGGCAGATGGGCACAAGGGAGAAGTAGAGACTTTCCTCTGGATCGAGCCTGCGCTCGGAGCTAAGCCGGGAGGGAATGCCGGGCGGAGGGACTGTGCTGGACAAAAGCCCGGAGGCCGGCCAGGCTAAACGGCCTGGAGAGGGCCATTGGCACCAGAAATGTGTGTGTGTGTGTGTGTGTGTGTGTGTGTGTGTCCCCGTACACGGTCCCAGCCAGGCCTGCTGCGCCCTGTTCCCTTGGGAGGGTACAACAGGGGGTGAGCACGAAGCTAGTATGTCTCCAGCCCTGCTGCGGGGATGGAGATACTGGGGCACACCCGCAGACACACGTCCACCCACCGGCCCCTCCCTGACCGGCGCCGCCGTCTCGCCTCCCCCAGGTCCGCGGGCGCTGATGGACATCATGCAGAACTGGCACTCCCTGTTCACGCCGGTGGAGGCGGCCACCGTGGTGGCGGTGACGGGCACCACGCCCGCCACGCTGCTGCGGCTGCGGCTGGACGCGCCCCGGCGGGAGGCGCTGCGGGCCTGCGCCCGCGCCCTGGCCCTGCAGTGCGCCATGAAGGACCCGCAGAACTGCGCCCTGCCCGCGCTCACGCTGTGCGAGAAGAACCACGCGGCCTTCGAGGCGGCCTACCAGATCGTGCTGGACGCCGCGGCCGGCGGCCTGGGCCACGCCCACCTCTTCACCGTGGCCCGCTACATGGAGCACCGCGGGCTGCCGCTGCAGGCCTACAAGCTGGCCACGCTGGCCCTGGCGCAGCTCAGCATCGCCTTCAACCAGGACAGCCACCCCGCCGTCAACGACGTGCTCTGGGCCTGCTCGCTCAGCCACTCCCTGGGCCGGCACGAGCTCTCCGCCATCGTCCCGCTCATCATCCGCAGCATCCACTGCGCCCCCATGCTCTCCGACATCCTCCGCCGCTGGACCCTCTCGGCGCCCGGCCTGGGGCCCCTGGGGGCTCGCCGGGCAGCCAAGCCCCTGGGCACGGACCGGGCGCCCCTCTGCCAGCTGCTGGATGCCGCGGTGGCCGCCTACATCAACACCAGCCACTCACGCCTCACGCACATCAGCCCGCGGCACTACGGCGACTTCATCGAGTTCCTGGGCAAGGCCCGGGAGACCTTCCTGCTGGCCCCCGACGGGCACCTCCAGTTCACCCAGTTCTTGGAGAACCTCAAACAGACGTACAAGGGCAAGAAGAAGCTCATGCTGCTGGTGCGGGAGCGATTCGGCTGAGGGGCAGGCGTCTGGTGGGCACAGGGTCTCCCTGGGCGCCTGCTTCTGTGCCACCCGCTCTGCGTCGGGCACCTGGGCCGGAGGTCCTGGGGCATCTGAGTGTCGAGTCAGGCAAGGAGCCCGGCTGGAGCGAGGTGGTCCTGCCTGCCACCCCCCCCCCCCCCCGGCCCGGCTGGAGGTGGGAATGGGGGGTGGCGTCCTGCCACGTGCGTGCCTGGGATTACGCGAGCGAGCGAGTGTGCGAGACGCAAGGATCAGAAGCCATACCACCACCAGGGGCCTAGGAGGCGGGTAGCTGGTATGGCCCCACTTGGGTTCCCACAAAAGCAATAGCAAGCTCCCCCTCCCCAAACTTACAGGCCTGGCTTGGGCTCCAGGAGAACTGGGAGGCAGGACTTTCCAGAAACTGGCTCTCAAAGTTAATGTAGCAGACACACCCCTCCCCACACACACATACCTGCACACACCCTACTCTGGGTGGCCGGGGGACTTGTGTTAAAGCATCTGAATCTCCTTTTGTACCCTCCTCTCGCTGCCTCAGGAGCCCCCTCCAGGGCATCCAGCCAGGGCCAAGGGCTCATCCCACTGAAGGATTTAAAGAGGCCTCAGGCCTCGGCCACATACCTCAACCCCCATCCGGCCAGGACTCCCATTCCTGTGGGTCCTGGGGTCCCAGGATGGACTAGGGGGAGGAGGGGGTCATTGATTCTCCTCCCCCTACCTGCTAGTCACTGGACATACAACTCAGGAACTGAGCCATGCTCACACTGTCCTCCAAACCTGGTGTCCTCCAAACCTGGTATGAGACAAGCACAGGGAGCCAGGGACTCGGCAGCCCAAATTTGGAAAGGAAAGAAATGCTGGCCCCGGGCATCTTCTGGCTCGTCTCTCCCTTCTCTCTCCGCCCCTCCTCCGCTCTCCCTTCCACTTCTCTCCACCCAGCCTGCCTCTGTGTGTCTAAGCCCCGGCCGATGTCCTCTGGGCCTCCCCACCGTCCCCCCCCCCCCTTTCCCTCTCGTAATTAGGGACAAAAGACCACATGATTTTATAACTGATTTTTTTTTCCTATTTATTGAACTGTATATTGTATTTTCTTTTTCCTTATTATTTTTTAAAGATTGAACACAGCTTTCTCTTCTTTCTTTTGAGACGGGTGTGTGTTCCCCTTCCCTCCCACCCCCAAACAGGGCCCCCGTTTTTCTCCATAGAAAAGCTCCAGCCTCGCCTGGGGGCACAGCTTCAAGCAGAGGGCAGAATGAGAGTGGGCGCTGCCTCATCCAGTGGGAAAGGGGCAAACGGCGGCAGGCAGAGCGGAGAGTCACCAGGAGCAAGCCCTCGCTGAGTGCTTTACCCACCCTGCCCAAGGAGTGGGTAGGAACATTTCCACTTTACAGGCGAGAAGAGGAGGGCTCCCAAGTCTAAGGAAAGGGCATCCGTTTTAGGGAGACACCAAAGTCTGACTTGGGACCTTAGCTGGAGTCACTGACGGCCCACCCCAGGCTGCATGGCGCCTGCGCCGCTGGAACTAGCCGCTAGGGGGCGCCCTGGCTCCAGGTACCTGCTGTTAGGGATCCTTGTCTCCCAAGTTGCTGGGGGGAGGGGAGGTGCTAGGTGGGGACACCGCCTTTAATCTAGGCCCTTTTTAGGGGAACTCTGGCCAAAAAGAGGCGGTGGGCGCGGTCAGTGGGGGCGCCGGCAGGGCGTGTTTGAGTGCCTACACCGCCGATGAGGCTCCGGGTCTCCAGAGGGAAGGGTAGGGGACGGCGAGAGGGCCCCCCCTTACCTTCCTGCATGCTCCCCGAGAAGCAGGAGCTTCCTGGTTGCCCTCCGGCCAAGGCCGGAGTCACGGTCAAAGCCTGGCCGACGGGACCGCTTCCGGGAGAGACGGGGCGGGCCGGCTGCCAGCGGGGCGCTGTGATTGGTCTGCGGCCCCGCCCTGTGCTCCCGGGGACCAATGGGGGCGGCCCCACCTCCCGCCCCGCCCCGCGTTCCCACAGGTATGTGAGGCCGGGGATCGGCGCCCTCAGCGCCACCTGGAGGCCTGGGGCCCGAGAGAGGTGGCCGCCGTGGGCCCAGCTGCCTCCAAATGCTGTCCCCAGACCGGGCGCCCCTTAGCTGTGAAGTTCTCAGTCACCCACGAGTGTCCCCCTCTCCTCCTGCAGACACCTCCAGCCCAAATTCCCCACCCTGGCCGAGTTCTCCCTTCTGTCTCAGTCCCCTCCCCCCCAAAAATGTTACTAGCTCAACACACTCAGGTCCCAGCTATCTGAATGTCCACCCCCCCCCTCGGCCCTGGGAATCATGGCCCCATCTAGGTCCCTCCAGAAAAGCTTTTCCTGTCAACATATCAGCCTCCAAAAGCCAGTCCCCTCTAGTCCAGGGTTTCTTTTGGTCACTCCCCCCATCCCCAGGACACCCCGCAAGGTCACCTTTCCACGCTTGTAACTAAATTGCCACCTTCCTCAGAACAGGTGCAGAGGGGACGGGGTCCTGTGAGGCCAAGAACATGGGGCGGGGGGGGGGGGGGGGGGCGGTAGGGGGCGGCAGTAAATCAGGGCTGATTCAACCTCCTCACCCAATCAGCCAGAAACCCAGGGACTTCAGGCAAGAATCACAAACACCACACCTTCAGGAATAATATTTAATTGGACACTAAATACAACACATAGCACAGATTGCCCCAAGCCTGCATGTGCCCCTGGCAGAAGTGGGGAAGGGGCACACGGGGCCAGCCCCGACACCCCGGGAGCTTCACTCTGCTCTTCACGCTCAGGGACCACCCCGGACTGGGCGGGCCTGCTGGTGTCCTTCCTCCCCACCCCGCGTGCCAGTGGGTGTCACGGCTCCTCCCTCCAGACGGGAAGCTGCAGAGCCCAGGTGGAAGGGGTCAGCCGCGTTCACGTCAGGCCAGTCTGGTGCCGGAAGCCTGGAGCTGGCATTTAACGGTCTGAGGGCCCAGGGCAGTTTCCTCTTGGGTAACTGGCTGCTGGGAAGCCAGCCTGTGCCCACACCAAGCGTGGGAGAGGAGGGGCCGAGGCCCCAGGCCCAGAGGGTCGCCCAGGCGGAGACACAGCTGGCTTCCCTTTTCCATGGGAACACGGCCCAGCTGGAGGAAGGACTGTGGGGTCTCCGAGAGCAGAGTTGGGGGAGGGGACCTGCAGCAGGAGCTGAGTCCACCCACCCCACCCGTCCCAAGTCCCTCCCCAGATACACCGGTAGATCTGAATCCTCCTCTCTTCCCCCGGCATCAGCCCATCCAGGGAAGGCAGGGCCACAGGCTCCTAGGGGGCTTGACTCCTGTTCCTGCTGAACTGAGCCAGTCTGTACAAAACACTGTGTTTCAGCTCAGTAGGCACGGGAGGCAGAGCCCAGGGAAGCCGGGCGGCAGAGCAGGCAGGGGGAGGCGGCGGAGCTGGAGGAGATGAGGGCTCCGGGGGGCGGAACTTAGCCACTGTGAACATGACTTGGTGCAGACCCTGCTCACAAGCAGCTAAGCCCTGCTCCCCAGGCCAGACGCAGGCAGCAAGGGCCTCTCTGCCACCTCTCCCCCTGGCAGCGTCCTTGGTGGTGCTGCTGGTAGTGGTGCTGGTGCTGGTGCTGGTGCCGGTGCCGGTGTCGGTGACGGCCCCAGAGATTGGGCTCAGGGTCGATTGGAAATCCCTGGCAATGTGATTTGTGAAAGGCAGCAAATCCCATCCCCAGGAACCCCAACCGGCCGTGGCACAGGGGGGGGGAGGCTCTGGGTGGGGCCATCAGCTGGCACCTGGGGGAGAGAGCAAAGGAGACATAATGAGACTCGAGAACATCTGCTGCTGTCCTCTGGCGCCTGGCAGGGACCCCCTCTTCCCACGTACACTCCTCCGACCCAGCCATGCCCCCCGTCCCAGGACAAGATGCCAGGAGAGGCCCAGGCCCAGAGTGGCCGCACGGACTGCCCGAGCCAGGACTCCACCTCTTCACCGGCCCATTCCCACCCCCGCGATCACCACGGAGCCCTGGGCAGGCTGAATGGGGCCGTGGGGAGAGGAAGCCGAGGGGGTGGCGGGCAGGCAGTTAAGGAAGTGATCTCACCCCAGCTGGCGCCACTTCCTAGAAGCATGAAGGGCAGGAGGAAACCGCCAGGGCCTCCCCCCGTGGTCCCGTCTCCTCAGCAGCCAGGCCTCAGCCTGAGCCTCGCCAGAGCAATGCCAGCAGCGAACACCCAGCAATCCGTTCTGGACATGCATACCCCAGAGCACCAAACCCAGGCTCCAGGTGCAAAGCCCCACTCAGCTGTTTCCCAAGTGCCCACCAAGCCTCAGTTTCCCCCTCTGTACAATGGAGCCAAGGGCTTTTATCTACCTCGAAGCACCATAAGGTTTCACCGAGTGTTTGGCATCAGAACTGCTTACAGACTTTGTGGGGCTACCAGCAACATGAAAGCACGGGGCCCCTCGTTCAGACATCAAGAATTTCAGGACATCCACGGCAAAGCATTTAAACCAAGCTCCAGCCCTCGCCAGTTTGGCTCAGTAGAAAGAGCGTGGGCCTGCGGACCAAAGGGACCCGGGTTCGACTCTGGTCAAGGGCATGTACCTCAGTTGCAGGCTCCTCCCTGGCCCGGGCCCCGGGTCTGGGCTCTGGTCCTGGCTCATGCAGGAGGCAACCAATCGATGTGCTTCTCTCACATCAATACTTCTGTCTCTCCCTCTCCCACTCTCTCTCAATAAAATGAACTTTAAAAATTCATGGAAAAATATCTTTACGGGAGGATTAACAAAACAAAAAAAATAAAACAAAATAAGCCAAGTCCCAGGTTTTCTGAGGTGGGGGTGTGAGGTAAGACTAGCTCTGTGTTCAGGAAGTGGGGTTCTGTGGCCAGGAGATTCCAACGCCGAGCCAGGCTGGCGGGGTTTGCTCCCAGGCTTTGCCGCTTCCTAGCTGGGTGCCTCTGGGTAATCACTCCGCCTCTCTGGACTCTCCTTTCCCCATCGGCAGAGGAGGGATGGACACTGCGGTGGTGAGGATGCCGTGAGTGCTCCGTGTAATGGGGAGGGGGCTACCCTGTCGTCACAGACCGGACAGAAGCAGGAAGGAAGAGGGATGGAAGCGAGGACACCGCACACGGGTAGGACCACCTCCCCCAGACCTGGCGGTGTCCGCCCCCGGGAGACGGGCTCGGCCGCACCCCGGGTCTCCCCGCAGACACACACACATCCACCAGTCGCCCACAAGCCGACCCGGCTCAGCCCAGCCCTGTCTCCTCGGGGCCCGGGGGCACCAACCAGGAACAGAGAAGGCCTCGGAGGGCGGCCAGCCTCCCCGGGCCTCCTCCGGAAGTGAGACAGCACAATCGTGTCCCAGGGACGAGAACGGGAAGGGCGGCCATTTGGCCGGGCCCGTTTCCTGTGGGGTTTCCCCTGTACAGAGCCCGGGATGGGGCCAAGGCCACTCCCCGCCCTCACGGCCACGGAAGGCCTGGGTCTCGCGGGAAGGAGGCCCTGCATGCGAGGCAGGTGGCCGCCCGGGAGCCAGGGCCCCTGCTCCCGGGCGCTTGCCCCTCAGGCTCAGGGGGATGGCATCCAGGGAGGGACACGCTCCTGGCAGCGGAAGGCAAGCGGGGAGGGAGGAGCAGGCAGGCCCCAGGCCTCCCAGATGGGCGCACGTGTGCCTGAGAACGCGCTGCAGACAGGGCGTGGAGGCATGAGACACACAGGCAAGCATCTTGCCCCCCCCCACACCACCACCACCCCTGTTCCAAGAATGAATATGGGCCGCTTCCGCCAGGGGCGCCACCGCCGCCGCCGCCCCCAAGCCTGGTCCCCAAATACTTTCCACCCTCTCTCTCTCTCAGAGCAGCTGGGATCGGAAAATACCAAGGGCTGCAGGCCCCGCCCTGGCCGCCGCCACCGCCCGCCCTCCCCGCCTGTCACTAACGCTTTGCCTAATGGGCCCAGACTCTCCGCAGGCAGAGGCTCTCTGGCGAGGGCCCCGGAGCCAGCCGCCAACCTGGGCTGCCCAGCCAAGGGCCGCCTGACCACCAGCCCCCCGCCCCTCGCCCCCATCCCAACGCCGAGACCGTAACAACACTCACAACAACACGACGGGCAGCCCTCGGAGGCTGGCACCAGGGCGGAGGGAGGCAGGGC